TGCCAAATTGTGCGCGCGGGTGAAGGGATCTTAGGAGTTTGGCACTTTGACCAGTGTGACAATGGCTGCATAGCTCAGCTTGAAGGTGCGGATGTAACCAGCATAGGTGGTTGTTCTGCAAACATCAGCTGGTTGTTCTACACGCGGATGCCGCACGGAGACAAAACCGCCCATACGGCCAAAGCCATTTGTGAACTGATGAGGCTCTTTCCAGATAATCCCATGAAGATTCCTCACTCAATGCCAACATTGAGGCTCCCTTTTGGAGGAGGCCTGCCTGAAGACAATGAAGACCATCATTGTGTGGAAGATATCAACGGGCCCTTTGCTCCTGAAAGTGCCCAGTTTGAAGATGACTGTCCTGAGTCAAGTGACAAAGCAGCGACGGAATCCAAACCGGGTAGGTTGCGCATTCCACCTGTAAATTGTCTTTGAAAATTTATCTGGCATGATATTTGCATCTTAGTGATAACACGCAGAAGACACCAGCCAAAGTCTGCGACGGATACCAATCGGGGTAGGTTGACATTGTTATTTCCCCATGGATTAACATTGACGTCTCTATGTGTTTGAATTCATGATACAATACCACAAGAGCACCGCACTATGTTGCAGTTGCGGTGCGGTTGCGTAGCGCTTTTGGGTGCCGCAATAGCAACACAATATAGTGCGGTGCCAGCGCTCCGCAATCCGGGTTCAAAAAACCCCTTGGTCAGAAACCCGCACCACAATTGCGGTCGGTTTTTGACGGTTATTTAGGGCAAATATTGCGGAAATAGGGCAATATTGCGCATTTTCCGCAATATTTGCCCGACCGCTGCAACATCAAGTTAGAAATTAAACACCCCATTGCGGAGGGGTTGTGTAGCGCTTGCGGTGTTGCATGATAGTCACACGCAAAAACCGTCAGCCCAAAGGCCAAGTGGAACCAACTGTTACGACAAAGGTTACACAAGACACCTCTCCAAATAAAAAACCTGGTACACACAATCTGTTGTTCTATATTTTCCTCCTGCTTATCTGCTTTTCTTCAGTCATGCGCAAACCACGTCAGGTTACATTGGTTTCTGAAGTCAAAACACCGCCGTGTGTCAAAGCTGCACCTAAGAAACCCAATTGGAGAGGGTGGGTGATGGTTGAAGATGAGCCCGTCATGGACCAGGAGCCTGATCTGGTTGTATCAGAAGTGTCCGAGGTAAAAACCAGAGTGACACAACAGCGACGGGGGTGATATATAGTCAAACCTTGGTTTATTTTTGATTTCCTCCTTAAAACATGATTTGTTCTCAATCTACTATACATGTGGTTTCTAGATATTACAATTAAGATGTTATGTAAATGGAAAGACAATCAATATCTAATGTCTTTGGCTTTGTTTTTGCAATTTTGGCTTGTGTTGAAATGTTGGTGTAACTTTGTCTTCAAGGCGGTGTAAAAATGTACCTTCCGTGCTTGAAATACAATTTTACGCTGGGCGTTTTTACACTGGATGTCTTGGTGTAAAGTGATTCTGGTGTAAAATTCAATTTTTTGACTGAAAGTTACACTTTTACGCGGGGAATTTTTACACCAAAACTTTCTGTGTAAGAGTTCCTGTGTAAAATTCAATGTTGCGTTGGGGTTCCGTACTTTTACACTGACAATGTTACACCGGCTTTTTTTGCACAGACAAAAAAAAAGTATAAAATTCAAAATTGGGGCGTCAATGTTGAATTTTACACCGGCTCTATTTTACACAGGGCAAGTTGGTGTAAAGGGGTCGGTGTAAAATTCCACCTCCCCTTTAAACAGTAGAGACACCACTCTAGCTGCAACAATGCTCGCATGTATGGATCATGATCAAATCCGTTCAAGTCTTGACACAATGGGAAATTGGAGAGCTACATTTATACCAGGAACGGTATCAGAAACAACCTTGATCCCGATGATGTTATACTGGAACCATTGTTTGAGGTTGTTATCTCTTCATATCCCTCTAAGTGGATTTAAGGAGGAATGGAAAAACATCAATCAATCTTAATCTTCAAAAACACTTCAATACAGAATGAGGCGCCAACAGGTCAACACCCAAAGAGTGAAAGGTGGCTTACCTTTAATGAGTGGATGCAATATGGTGATTTGAATCTGATGTTGCAATACTCGAGAGAAACAACGGATTTGCTGATGCAATATCATTACTGAATTATCGTCTGGAAGAGCATTCTAAATCTGTCAGGCAGCTTAGCCAAATTTGTCAATGGATTACGGCCTTCAGATATGATTTGTCAGTGCGATCAAACGTGATGTCCCATCACGTTGCTGGATCGCCAGACGATCCTTCAGTGGAGCGTCCGACGCTTTTGGAGGATGCGAAGGTCACAGGAGGTTGGCTGGGAGATGCCTGGGTAATGAAACACAATACCGGTTAGTTGTGATTGAATTGTCAAAATATAAGACCATGCTAACTTATTTCTGGAATGTTTGATCAACTATAACAAACAAAGCTTTTTCTGAAGGTCGCGAACTACAGTCATTCAGTCCTTTCTCGGGAGAAATGTATTAAGGATAATGAACTCTTACTAATCATTTCGTCATAGTTCATTTCCTATGCTGTCTTCGTATACTTTTTCATTCTACTGTGACATCATTTCTTTTTGTTTCCTTCTCAATCTACTTATATGTATCTTGGGTATACGAGATTATGTTTCTATAAGAATGAATGTTTCTTTCACCTATATGTGTTCTTCTTTCTCATTCATTCTTATTCTTACTTCTCGTACCTTTAGGTACTATTGCTTTCTCTCAGTCACTCGTGTTCTTTTACTAAAGAACATCTCGTGCCCTTCTCAAGCCCGTACTCTTATAAAATGTAACTGGAAGGAAAGAATCACGACTCGGTCAATGTGAAAGTATAAGACAAAGCCAGCTGGCACCTGCACGACAATGAAGAAACCAAGGAGAGCGAAGTATCAGCGAATAAGACAAACCGCCGATGCAAGGGTGGGTTCCACTAATAATAGATAAGATGAAGGGCAATCTCCAATTCTTTCACAAAGGAAAAGCCTTCCAGCTTTGATTTCATCCTTCCAGGAAAGTTAAACACAGTCACAGATGTAAACTAAATATCTTGGTGTAGCAGGAGTATGTTGTTGGTCTGATATTTATCAAATATAGAATTGATAGTGTCAATAAGTATGTCATCAATATGTGTATTTTCCGTAAGTTTTTCTGAATCTGAGCCAGCAACAGAAGCTCTAGGTCCTGCTGTAATGGCAGTCTATAGATAAACGTTAGAAAACATAGCGAGTAGCCCTCGCATGGAGATGTTATGACGTCAAAAGATTAAGACCATGAGCAAAAATAAGGTGTATAACGGTAGTAAAAAGTGAGATGACTCACCAAGAATTGGGAAAGAGTTGAAAGAATTCAAGTCGGCGTAAAACTGTGAGATTGACGCGTCAAACACGGTCATCATCCGGGAATACCAAACGATAAGGTGGAAACATCAAATGACATTGCCCATGAAATCATAGGTTGGCGATATGTCTCGAACGAGATATGAGCGACGGAAAATATGACTGGTAATGTAGCTAGACTCATGATCAATGATGATTGAACAGGATTGAACATGAGGGAATTCTTTGTGAACAAAAACAATTTCAAAACAACGCACCAAATATCAAAGTGGTTGCAAGATCCTTCAGACGACTCCCAGGTGACATTTCTTTTGAATACTTTTGATTTGGAGGGAGCGGATGATGAATCCTAACACGACCATGAGATCACTTGAGTCTTGGTCATGTGTTACTTCAAAAACTGGCAATCATGTCTGTTTCTTTGCTTTAATCTACTAAATGTACATTGATTTTATGTCTGAGCTGCTTTATGCTCGTCTTCTGGAGCTCTGTTTGCGTTGGTACAAAAACAAGCTTTGTGATCTTTTTTATCTTTGTCTTTTTTATTCATTTGATCATATATATATATTCTTTTCGGTTCAGTATCTACAATTTTCCCCGGAGGCCACTGAAATCTGATCCTGGCTTGGTAGTATGAATACTTACTTTCACCGTTTACTCCACACATCTTTACCTTAGCTTCTCTTCTTGATCAAGCACGAGTACATTTAGTATATTATTATACCTTTATCAATTTACTGGTAAGTCAAACTAAAGCCCTCTAACTGGCTTGCCTCCTTCAAGTTCCTAGCGAGTCATAAACCTGTGTGAGTTCAATGTTTATCCAAATTTGGTCGAGCAATAGAAAATTGGTGCCCGCCTAGAATGATTAAACGGGCTTCCGAGGAGCCTTTGCCATGTTGAAGAAGTGGTATCATGGGAGAGCTTGAAATGTGAAGGAAAAACACAACTTGACTACTCTGTCTTTATATTCAGTTCTCATGTGAACCCTATGATACGCACTTTATCGAACATTTGAGGAGACAAGAGTGACGCATTCTATCTTGCCATCGATTTCTCTGTCATGGCCCCACGTCTTCATGCGAGAAGATACCTTTGATCATTGTGCAACTATATGTAGACGTGCTGAAATGCAATCAATTTTTTGCTGGGTCAATCAAGATCAGCGTTAATGCAGTATATCCTCCTGGCAAGATTTGAGGGACAATTTCTTGATGTATGAGGTTCAAATACCCGAGACCAGTTCATCTTCCTGGTTTGTTGATTGTTTGAATATAACATTTTTTCCTCGATTGGAATTGATTGTTTAGGGCATGACCAACTTGAGGAAATGTGGTAGAAGTCTGTTGGAAAGTTAGAATTGGCGATATCCGCATTTATAGTTTTCAAAGGCGTGAAAGACTGCCCAAGAAGTTGTGTAAAGTCAAAGTACAGCTATCATGCTATGTAGCGAAATGTGAAGATTGATGACATCATGATTTGGTTGGTGTGGTAGTACCGGTGATGTTTTGGTGTGCGTACAGGCTAGGGCGTAAAACTGACGACTCTTTCTCCTGACCACTTTACCTCTTTACCATCCTCAGCTCTTCATCAATCGATCGATCGATTTAGCTTTGATTATCATCATCATCAATTCATAACGGAAACATTATCAACTCAACTCAACATGTCCGAATTGAATGAACAACGTTTTGAGATTCATTCTAACTTGTCAATGTGAGTTATCCATCCCATTTCATTCAACTTTCCTCTGTCTTAATCTCTCATCCTCAGCACATCTGACTCACTTATGCCATTTTATCCTTCACAGGTACATTTCTGACCAAGCTTATACCTTGGTACCTGCATCCAATTCAAATCAACCGTCTTTGGTGATCTCGCGTCCAACTAAGTAAAACAACGAACTCAGTCAATCCACCTGTCTTTTCTGGTGCTAATCACTTGTTTACCCCTAAAAGTGAAGTCAGTCTTGGCCCTGTTGGCCCTCCTGCAAGAGCCGATCGAAGCGTCAATTCTATCGCTGGTTTCCTAGGCATAATCTCTCTTATCAAGTCGGACTACCTCGTCCTCGTCAAATCTGCTCGTAAAGTTTGTCCGATTTATTCATCATGTTTTTTGCTTCTCACTACTATCGCAGGATTAAATTGAGCTCATCTGTGTTTCCCAAAACCGATGTGATCTTTCTTTCAGGTGACTACTCTCTTCAAGACAGCCGTATACACTCCTACAGCCTTTGCCGTCTACCCGATCTCTGTCGAAACCAATGCCAATCTATTAGAAAATTCGGACGAGAGATACCTTCTATCAGTCCTCAAAGCTCATCTCGATAATGCCGTTGGCAAGATGTTCTTTACCTACAACAACAAACTCGATCCACAGGACCCACCTCCCTGGGATATCACCAACTCATTACAACGACAAACATCAGCTCAGAAGTCACCTGAGACATCTGAGATGCCACTTTGGAAGAAGGCTGATGAACGATTCTTTTGGAATCGGCATCTCCAGACCCGACTTATCAATCTGGCCAGCAAGCCAGAAGGACAACCGGTTAGAAAATCGTCTAGTAGATTCAGTGACAAAATGTGAATCCTTGTACTCACCATTCACCTACCTTTATATTTTAGTATCATCGATACATCCTTCCAGTAATTTTTGGCTGTAAGTAAGAACGTGTCCAACTCGAGGTTCCAGAGACACCATAGGATTGTCCATCTGACTGATTTATATGGATATTCTCACAATCATAACTCAAGTCTTTGAATTCAAGCTAGCCACCATCAATGGGCAGAAGTTTACATTCGGGATTATCTCTAGAAGATCCAGACACCGGGCGGGAACTCGTTATTTCAGTCGAGGGATTAACCTCGACGGAGAGGTTTCTAATTTCAACGAGTCGGAAATGATATTTGCTACCACCCCATCCTCCGTTAAGCCAAACAAAGCTATGATCAAAGCTAGCTATGTACAGACCAGAGGCAGTGTCCCGGTCTTTTGGACCGAGATCAACAATCTACGATACAGGCCCGATTTGAAAGTCATGGAAATTCCTCAAACAGTGCGTATCTCTCTTCGATCTCTCTCCAGAGTGAACAAGTTTCCAATTTCCAAGCGTTTTACTAACCCTCGCCGCATCAAATCATTAGCAAGAGTCTTTGCGCAAACACTTTGAAAAACAGGTGGAAATATACGGAGACCAGTACATTGTCAACTTGGTCAACTCCTCAGGATACGAGAAAGCGGTAAAAGAAGCTTATGAAAGAGGTGTACATGCCCTTGGGAATCCGAAGTGAGTAATCATTTCAGGAATTTAGTCATTCCATGATGATATATCTGGCAGTGTTGCTAAATAACTGTTGATCCGTGAATTCGAAGAGTTCATTATACCTACTTTGACTTTCATCACGAGTGTAAAGGCTTGAGGTTTGACAGAGTGCAGCTCTTGATCGATCGGCTACAAGATGAACTGGTTCAACAAGGTTATTATTATTTAGATGAATCGTCCTCTCCTTTACCTCTCAAAGAGCAAACGTCGGTCGTACGCTCCAACTGTATGGATTGGTGAGCACACACTTCCCCCTCCGATATTCGAACTCAGCTGTGGTCTCCTGACCCAGCTCATTTTGCACACAACAGTCTTGATCGAACAGGCGTTGTGCAATCTGCGCTGGCTAAATGGGTACTGACTGCGCAGTTAAAACAGGCTGGTATCCTCAACCAACGCGAAGTTTTGGATTCTCATCCTGAGTTCATGTCTCTGTTCCGTCATTGTGAGCTGCAAACTGCCTCTCTCCCTTTCACCCTCACTTTTAAAACCTTCTTTTTCAATTATTAGTGTGGGCGGACAACGCGGATGCTGTCTCAAATGCCTATTCTGGTACAGGCGCGTTGAAAACAGACTACACTCGCTACGGAGTCAGATCAAAACAAGGCGCGCTCAATGATGGAATAAATAGTGTCATGCGATACATCAAAAACAATTTTCTAGACGGTCCAAGGCAAGACTCATACGACCTGTTTACTGGAGCCTGGTCGCCTTTGACCAACACGAGCGGAAGTCTTCGGAAGAGTAATTCAGGTGTCGCCAAAAAAGTACTGGGAGAAGGTTACAACACATTTCAGCAAACAGTATGCCCACCTTTCTCTTGGACATGTTCTATTCGGCTGACTCGTCCGTCATATCTTCCATGCAGGTCTTCTTTGCATTCATCTTATCACTTCTAGTATTCTTGTCTGCAACCTTCACTGAGAGTACGTGTCATTGGAGTGGTGCGATGTTATGGCCTATACATCTTGTCTGATGAAATTGTTACATTGACCAGATCGCTCATTCAAAATCTCGCTGATGTCAATAATCGTTGGAGGAGGCTGTTCCGCTTTCATTTTAGCTAATGGGGTTGCATATGTCAACGGGCCTAAGTTGATTTCACGAAAGGACATTATAGCTTATAGCGGTCCGGGGCATGAAAGTTCTCGAAGAGGACGTGGTTGGGGACTCGTGCACGAGAGTGGTTTGGGTAAGGACGACGTAGAGGGAAAGAAAAGATTAGATTGATACGGTTCATCTTTTCTTACAAATCAAAGTTTGGATGTTGGTCTTTGTCTTTATTACTATTTCGGTGGCTTCGGTATTTTTATTGCGCTTGCGCCATTCACTTTAAATCCTCTTTGGAACTTAAAACATCTTGGGTAGGTATAACTTGGACCCCGGAAGAGTCAAGTTTGTAGAATTTATACTGATAAACTTTATTATCAGTGAACTTATGTTTTCTATTCTATTCTCAAGCTATAGATTGTCTTCTTTCTGATTCATTCATAATCATGTTTTGTGTGCATTGGAAGGTTTGATTTATGTTGAAGAGAAGCTGACAAGCTTATCCATCAAGTTGAGTCGAGTAGCTTTGGCACTTTAATATATGGTGTGGAGGTGCGTCACAGTTCAAGAGTTGAGATAGTCCAGGTCGACAGGTGACAACAGTTTGAGCAATAAGCTGTGTTCACAAAGGCTTGGCCCTAAAAGAGAAAAATAATGACTTCACCTGCGAGGTTCAATACTGAATGGCAAGCAGTAAGATCATATTGACATCTGGTACTAAGATCAACAAACTCATGGCAGGGATGCTTCCTTGGCTGAATTCTTTAGGATGTGATTCATTTATATATGTTACCTCATTTTTGATGTTGATATTATCAATTGAGGTTGAGGGACAAGAGTTTCCATGAACAGGCCTGATAGCGGCCCACCGCCTTTTCTAGGTTTTGTTTATCCTTTTCGCCCCTTTGGTCCTACCTTGCGATGAACTGTAGGAGATTCTGGACTTTGTCCTGTTTCCTCACCTCCCACAAGAAATCAACCTGAATGATCTAATGTTCCCTTCCTCTATCTCACTGTTAAGTGAGTATATCATCTTGGTTATCCAAAGCGCTTCACAACAGCCTCAAACTGCCCAGCGTGGGTTACGAACATCTGTTCAATGAAAGGTAATGAAAATATTGGATAACTCTACACAACTGCTAGTTTATGCTTATACAGACCCAAAAGTACAGAGTTCATGTGACACATACCCTTTGAAGTTACATGATATCAGATCCATCTGGACTATGTATGGAATAAGATAAGAATACACAACAAGAACGATAAAAAACGCTACTACACTTCATTCCTCCATTGAAAGATTTAACCATACCAGAAAAAGCTAGGCGTGATGTTTTTGGTCATTCAACAAATCCTTCAAGCTCTTAGATCCACCAACTTCACTGTCAATTGTCGACTCATTAGAAGGTGTCCATCGGCGTCCTGTTGTGATACATGTTAGGAATCATCGAAAGCCTAGAGGCATTGAGGTAATTATTTTACTGACTGTATAAAGTGGCACACCATCTGGATGAGGATGGAATGACCCAAGCTGCTTGCAGTTGACAATCGTCTGTAACCCAGGTGGGTCTGTAAGCCTAAACACACCCACACTGCACACGAAAGAAGTACAGGTATCAGATAAAGTGTAGACCAAGACGTGGTATGATAGGCATGAATACATACGCTGGGTGTTGTTTTGGGCTGCAAACGATGGCCACTGCTTCGGGTAACATTAATTGGTATGATGCATGGGTATGTAGATCAAGCGACGACATGAAACAAGTTTGAGTGGGATGTGTATGAATCTAGAAAAGCAAAGTTGTCGATAAATACGAGATATTCTCACTAGTCAGATTAGACATTACGTTGAAAGCTGGCTAAAGACTCACCCAACCAAGTGTCGATAAATTTCGTGAGTTTTGAAAGCGAAAAACTTCGTCTTCATCAGTTGTGGCGCAAGTGTCGGCAGTGGAGATTTGTTTGGGTATCAACAAAGTCGTAATGGTCAAAAGATGATTGCTCTATAATCATAATTTTCATTAATTACACAAATGAGTGCGTATATACTAAGATATCCAAGACTTACCAAAGTTCCAAGTAACAAGCCACAAAGCTCAACCCCCCGATCAGTTTCGGGCATCGAAGTAGCGACGAATACGTCTACAACTTCTTCGGGGCAGATCATTCGACGGAGTTGAGGTGTGATAGCCAAAGGCTGAGATCGTGGTAGATTGGTGATTGAAGATCTAGAATATAAGTACGCCATCAGATGACTTGGATAAGATGGGGAACAGCATGAAGACTGCTCTGTTGAAACTAGTATGAACTCGAACCTACGGTTTAGTCACGTCACCATTGATGAACGCTGGAGATCCTTGTGATGGAATGATGGGCCGTGAGGGCTGCCGATCAAGGTACTGGGACTCTGTGGGAAGAACATCCAATGTCGATTGACGGGTTTTTGAGTGCCGGAACGGGACGCTTGTAGGTTTTTGAGACGTATTAGACGTGACAGGTCGAACACGATAAGATTCGGCTTGGCTAACAGGCATGGTAGATGGATAAAGTTGCGTAGACGATGTGCGAGAATGAAGATGTAGCAAGTGTGTATCATTGACATGGGCCGAACGCGATGGAGATAAAGCTTTACGGGAAGCCCGTTTGGCAAGCTTCTCATTGCTAGCCTGATTGTCAGTCGGCCGTATCTTGGTGGCAAATGCTTTGTGCGAGGAATCTTGTGAGGAAACGGGTGTAGGCCAGCGCCATGTAGAGGGGTCTCCGAGCGATAGCTTCCTAGGTCGTGGACACGAGTCCTGCTTCAGTGGTTTACCAGAGCTGCACCCAGCGGTATCGGCACTTGGGGAAGATAGAGGAAACTGTGAAGTCATGGAAGTGTGAGATTTGTTCTGCGTCGAGGGAGTCCAGGATAGGCGACGGGTCAGGGGAGCCTTGAAGAGGTGTTTGAATTTTCCATTACTTTGAGGTAAATATCTACCTTGGGTATTAGGAGGCTTTGAAGACGTAGGTATGTTACTGTCGGAGGCACGATAGACAAGTTCAGTGGATGCGGTAAATCGGCCAGGTAAATCATAAAGTCGGGGTGCGGGAGGAGAATATACCATGGTGCGCGGAGGATTGGTGGAGAGATCATAGGGGACATGCGATAGGGCAGCAGCAGAATGGGGTCGATTACCACTAGAGATTAGTTGGTTGATGCATTGGTACGCAGCTTCATCGGAGTAAATGTTCCGGGAGGAGGGGTCGGGATTGATAGGTCGCTTGCTTTCGCAGCCTGGGTCAAGATGTGGCACCTGAGGAGAAGGTCGAGGTCGATGATGGTATCTGCCTGAGGTGAATTATGACGGAGACAAAGGTTCAGCAATGAGGGTCCAAAAGTTTGATGGTTGCGCAAGGCAAGGGTCAAAATGAACATATAGAAAACATGCGGACCTAGTCGATGAGGGCATGCAGGGATTGTTGGTGATCTGGGCATTTGGAGGCAAAAGCACACTCATCCGCTCCCCTTGTCCGTTCCCGAGTTCGACAGGCCAGGTGAGGTCACATTTTTGAAACGATGGCTTATTGGCGCATTCAGTCTCCTCATTATTACCCATGCTATTGCCCTTCATCAGACGTCTTGGTTTGAGTTTCGCACTTGATTTGACATGAGTATTGTACTTGTCAGGTGAAGGTTGATCAACAAGCTCCCAGTCCGCAGAGGCTTGGTGACTCCCAGTGCCAGAGTCGGCAGGTTCAGAGGGCTGCGGATCAGGGTGATCTAGCAGAGTCCATTTTTGAATGACTTTATCAGACCGGTATTTAGATTTTCTCTCCTCGCTGGCACGTGGTACGGAAATTTTACGGAGAAGGTTCGTTTGACGAGATGAGGACGAGGATGAGCTCGAGACGTGCGAAGGTTGATTTGTCCTGAGATCATCTTGGGCAGGCAAGACGCTGGTAAGCACAGGGATTGACTTGTCTAGGTGCTAAGAACGGAGGTTGCAAGTTAATGTGTGAATTTATAAGTTGTACTGGAAGCAAATGGAGGTTATCAGACCACGTACTTGTGAGTACCTCTCAGTAAGTTTCGCTTTCAGTGGCGCCAGATGCTCCAAGTACTTACGCCCATCCTGATGGCGGTGTCGTAATTCGGTCACAAAATGAGCGTCATAATCATCGAATTAGAAAAACAAGCGTGCTCACAGCCTGGATCTGACCTTTATGGTCGGGTGGAAGAAGGCGATAGTCTCGATGTTGGGAGGGTAATTCATCGAGGACGATTCTGACAAAATCGCGGATTGTCAAGGAAATCAGGAGGCATACGGTCACACACGATCAAGAAACACTCACCTAGCACCTCGAACGAGGTATACAAAAGCCAACTCAATTTGATTTTGAGCCTCACATGCTTGTGCTCTGTTGAGGGTTAAGGAGACATATATCACAAAGTAAGTAACAATAACGCCATCAGTTGAGCAGATCAAAGTAAAGATTTCAAGGAAGCAGACTGAACTGATGATAAAGTTTTTTGGCGCTTTGGACATAGGCTTTGATAGGCAAGTTTGGGTCGAAAGGTACCTTTGCCAATTCAGCTAGCTCACTGATCGACTTAGGAGGGTGATCAACCAAGATGTAATTTGACTCCAATGACATCGCGAAGCAGAGACAAGAAATTGATGGTCATGAATAAGTGATGGTGGAGATAGACGCGATAGCCGAGATATTCTCATTGGTTAAGGTATTGTGGCGGTACAAGCTTCTTAGGAGAGACAAAGGATTTGAAACTTGCCCTTGTGAAGTTGAGTTCATGTTTTCAAAACAGATACAGATCTCCGGACATCATATTTACATACATCCTGTATACAGCTAAATACCACCCCCTTCTAGGAGTGGGTCCGGCCCTGCAGCTTCAGAGCCGAGTCAGACCCGGCCTCGGCCACGACACCCCCAAGGATGTTGCCAAGCAACACCGGGCAGGCCCCGGCTGAGGGCAGCCCTTTTTAAGCCTGTTCAAGAGCTTAGGACAGCTGCTTCATGACATCAATTTTTCAGCATTAAAGCTCTTTAAAACCCTCCAACCGGGGTTTCAGGGGTGAGTGCTACTCTACTTGGTTACCAGAAACCAAGTCCAAGGCACTCCACGTGAGTACCAATGGTAGCAAAAACCAAATGAGTGAAGTACCCAATCAGTTTTTGCGCAAACTCGTGCTCAAGCCACAGGCACTGATCTTGAACCTGCCTAGAAGCAGCACTGCCACAGTTACTTTACTGTTTACAGTGAAGTAATTTTTTTCAGTATAAGTATTGAGATACTTAGTCACAGCCCCCAATCATGAGTCACTGGCAGGCCAGTGCAACCCACTGACATCAACAAATTATCAGAAATGTATGAAATGGATATCAAACAATTATCAGCCATTTATTGAAAAGTTGGTGGGCAGGTGCTGGGATACCACCAAAATTGAGATGATGTCATATGACATCATAAAACTGTACAAAACTGCTCCTGTATTTCCCCACCAAGAATAGTGGCTCTCAAACCTGACCCGCTTTTCAAAAAACCCAGTTGACCCAGTTGTTTTTTGGCAGTAAGTTTGTGTATCAAGTTGACATTTGTTGACAGCTCCCAGCCAAAAATTCAACTGGGGCAACCGGGTTTTTTGAAACTGGGTCAGGTTTGAGAGCCACTAATATATAGTCTATCAACGGTCATCACGTAAATTGACTGAGTTATTGAGGTTTGAAAAAAAAATCACAGACAAAAAATACTACTTCTGCACTATACATAAGCCATGAATCATGAATATTGTTCAAGTTTACAAGTATACATACACATAAAAATTGATATTCTTTTCCGAAACATGTGTCTCCACATTTTTCTTTCCTACAGTCTTCCTGTATGAGCAGTATTTCTATATGTAATTGTGGACTTTACACAGGCAGTCAAATTTTTCATTGATTCATTGATTGCGGGAAGAATATGGCAAAGTTTATTGCAGGAACCTTTGGTAAATCCCGTTTGCATGTATATCAATCAATTGGAGCACAATTTTTGGTCATGTCTTGTCAATTTGCCTGAAGGGCAAAGAATTGCAGAAAATCAATCTTCCACACACAATCAGGAATTACATATGGAGAAACTGCTCATATAGGAAGACTGCAGGGGAGAAAGATGTGGAGACACATGTTGCGGAAAAGAATATCAAACTTTCTGTGTATGTATATTTATAAACATGGAAGATATTCAGGAATCATGTGTTGCGTATACACAGTGCCCGTGGAGAAGGCCCCCGACGTTGGGGGCCCAAAGCTCTTGGCAAGTTTGTTGCATTTGTGTCATTTTTGTGGCCCAAATGTGTACAATTATCAACAAAGGGGAAAGATTGGAAGAATATTGGTTACACTGAACTTCATCCGTCTGAGTCAAGCCTCAGACAGACTAGGAGAAGCACGGCCCTGAACACTCAGTATTAACCACTGAACACTCATCTTTCCCTGCTGAATGCTCAGTGTTCCTCACTGAACACCTGGAAGCTGCCTATGAACTATCCTGGCCTCAAGAAAAGTTAGTGACCATTGCCCATTAGGATGCCAGTGGGGACTTTTAAGTTTGTGCCCTTTCCATGTTGGAGAGCCAGCCCACACATCCGGACACACCTGCGGGGTCAGATCCTGTCAGATCAGATGAGTGGTCAACCATTGGGTAACTCCTCCTATGTATGTAAGGAGTACATAAATTCATAATGTCAGTTCATGGTATGTGATCCAACTTGACTCTTGACTTCTTCTCATTCTCATCATCACTGTTGGATTGGTATTTGATAGCAGTATACTAATCCTTGTCACTTTTCAATAATTTCTTGGTAGATTGGTATCAATATAATTTCTTAAATATGTGAAAATCAATTTTGATTTTTATTCACAAAAATCAATTACAAACCCAATTCCACATCAAATCCCACTCTCAATCCAATCCAACATATCTCAACTTTTCTCAAAATCTCATCAAAATACTGATCCACTTTTCAAATCAGCATGAACTCAAATCCATCACCACCTGAGCCAAATTCTCTGATTGGTCGCCCGCTTCTTGAAGGATGGTCAATCCTTCTCTCTCTATCTATGTAGATATATTTTGAACCCATTCTTCCATCACTCTGATATTAGGATGTTGAAGAAAAAGCAAAAAGTTGACCAATCTCACCTACCTGGCTTGTTGCTACCGCAATCTGACTATGTATCTCTTTCTTTTATTCCCCAGAGGATCTGCAATGCAATATCTCTATTTGACCAATCAAACTGCTACCCTCTCATACTCTTTTTCACCTCAGTCAAGAATCATGGATTCAGTCTACATCAGTCCAGCATCAATCTCAATCGCTCAACTTTCAAAGTCAAATCATATCAATTTTGGTGGCTTGCTGGTTATGCACATCAAAACTCTTTTGAACTACAACTTTGTATGCTGGACACATGTTTCAAAATCCCTAGTTAATAACGGCGGTGTCCAAGAAAATGAGCGCCAAAAAAGACGTCTCAAAGCAGCAAAAAAGACTAACGGCTCAGATTCAAGTGGTGGACCTTCCCTCAGACTTGGTCTCAATTTTGCGGATCTCAATGCTGTAAGGCCACTTGATATGACCAAAATCTATCATTTGGTATGCCAGATGCAAGCGGTTAGTCTTTGTTTCATCTTGCATTGATTGAAACTAAATCTAACATCTCACCTTGCAGTTAATGTTATTTACACTTTAGCAACTTGTAGCCCTCAAATCTATACAAACTCCCTCACCTCATCCATTTGTCAAAAGTTTTGAGGCAAGTCATCAGAGGTCATACCTGCAGGATCAAATCAATTGACAATTTATGAAAGTGGTTCTACCAATGGTGAGCCGTCAGGTGTCTTCCCTTGGGAGAAGCCTAGCTTGTTTGTGTAAGCCTTTTTTCATCCAGTATGATTGTGTTTGCGATTTCCATACAGGTGTAGATGTGTACACACAAGTTTACAATTCCTGAACTGAACCTCACAAACTGATGGCTTGTGTGGTCATTTCAGGCGCAATGTAATGGCCAGAAACAAATATCTTGAACATATTGGCAAAGTAACGGTTTCACATGAACTTGGACCAGAAAAAGGCACAATCGAATTCAAGCCAGGTACAACCTTTGGCGGTGAAGGATTGCGAAAAAGGGTTGAGATCCAAGTTATGAATGATGATGGTGAAGTACAAGCAACTGTGGTTGCCAAATGGGATAGCGGATTAGTTCAGTCAGACACAGATGAGTGGGTGTTTGAAGCCAATCCAATGCCTGAGTTTCCATTGGATTATTATGGCTTTAGTCAATTTGCAATCAAATTGAACAAGATCACCGAAGATTTGAGACCTGAATCAAGATTGGCACCAACAGACTCAAGGTTAAGACCTGATCAACTTCTGATAGAAGAGGGGAAGATTGACAAAGCTGCAGCCGTGAGATTAAAAAATGACAATGGGTTAGACGGAGGAAGGCAGACCATGTACTGGTTTGGTTTGAATAGTTTCCGGGATCTGAAGATTGGATTTATAAGGTCTGTGTTTTATCCTTGGTTATAGATGAACGTTCAAAGACTGTTGGTTGACCAATACTCTTTCTGTTGTGGTTTTCATTGGTTTTACTTTAGGGTGGTTATTTTGAGAACATTGAGAAAACAAAACCTGAATGAAAAGAGTCAGATCTCTTTTGAGGTTCCCTCAGGAGATGTTCCTAAAACACTAAAATCCTGAATTCAAACCCTTGGATAGAAAGTAACTTGGTCTTAGTACCAGGTCTTATCAACAATTTGATATTCCTCATCAAATAGTTTCTTCCTTCCTTATCTGTAACCTGTTGTTCTTGAGTCTTTTCATATGAAGAATTATGTGTATGATCAGTTTTTTTTGTGCGTGTGCTCATGATTACAATGTGACTAGCACATTGAGCGGCGGCCGCCGCTACCAAAGTCTCACATCAATGATACCAAGCTGATGTTACAATCTCCTCTCAGACCTTTGGGCAGGGAATTCACATCGATCTCAGTTTATAAAACCTAACACTCATGAGATTTTCATTGCATGATATCATCACATCATGTTACATGATTAACCCTGCTCCTAATCTCAAAGACCACACGAACCTAAGGGTGGTCCGAACACCATGTTGCTCTCAATATTTCATCTCCGACCTGCACCAACGTGTTCTGCTCATTACACCGGGATCCTGCACATTTGCTGAGATAGTGAAAGTGTTAGCACTATCAAAAGGTTAGCCCTATCCTTGAAATCAAGCCGACTCACTGATATCTCGGCACGTGTCAACTCAGTTCAAAAATGACATCTTATGCCATAAAGCGGGAAAACTTCAGACAGGTAAGCATCAACCAGGTTTGCAGCATTGGGATATATGAAAATGATATGTTCAAAACCTTCAGGTTTCCCCAAGCAAAGACTTTTTAGTTCCCTCAGAATCCTTTGCCAATAATTCCTTGAAGGAGTGTAATGCGTAATCATAACCCTCATATTTTTAAACAATCCCCACCGCAACCACTCAAAATTTGGTACCCTGGAGGTTGAATCGATACAACTGATTATCTTGAGCTTTGGAAAAAAGGTATGCCGTACTTTGTGTGGGAGCCAGTCCGGAAGGAAGTTTACAAACAGCGTCTCAAGACAATTCCGTACCGTTACTATGACTTTTGTAGGATGTTTGCGATATTCATGAGGTTTGTATTCTAGGGATTTGATATTGCCTTCCCAAGCTTGACAGAAATTGCTAATGGTGTCAATATTGTATGGGTGAGACACAAAGGAGAGGTGTTCCAAAAGTGGTAGAGAGCCCGACTCCAAACATAAACACCTTAAGCTGGCGAATTGAAGTGGCAGTGACTGCAAGCTAGTGATACTATTTAGCAAAGTTGTTAAAGAGGCGTAATTGTTCTCATGAAATCCCAATCGGCTGCCTCCAATTAAAAATACCGTAAGTCTTGGGAGTTGTACAATAGCATCTATGATTCTTCTTGAAAAAACAACGGGTCCCCCAAACTGCAATTTTAGATCAGTAAGACTTGTTGAGGTTCAATCAACACAAGCATACAAGTCTAGATTATGCTGATAGCAGAATCACCCCAATCTTCTTACATATATATACAACAATGAGATATCCTCCATCAGTCTTCTTTTCCTCATATATGAAAAGAAGAAGGTAAGTGAACTCATTTCTTTGTTCTTTCTTCTTGATCTTTGCGACCTCTTCTGACTTATGTTATCTTATTCTAGTCTCAGTTATTATCTTTGTTAGACCCAAGATTAGGCTCTGAACCTGTTTGTTTCCCTTAACTTAGACCGTGTTCTAAGACTTCCTCAAGACTTTGGCCACATAGATCAATGATCTGCTTGGCTTCCCGCATCATGATCATTCGCCGATCCAGTTTGTCGCTGCCAAGTCGTACGTCAAAAGCATGCAATGATCTTTGCACACCACTCAAATCTGCATTAAGATGTGAAAATGTGAATAATAGACTATCAAAGCACAGTCGGCGTAACTGCACTGTGCCGGTGGTGATCAAGATGTTTTTCAACGTTTTTGCCCAACCGATCCCCATGAAACTTGGATTTAGTCAGAGAGCTCGATAAGCAAGGGGCATAACCGTAGTTGACCATGACTTGCTCACTAATTGTAGGTTAAGCAACTCCACTATAGTTGTATGATCAAGAAAAGCGGGGTTGGTAGTGCTCAGGATCCTAGTAGCCTCCAAAGCGGGTCGACTTGTGAAGTGAGACAATATTACTCCAATGACTTTCACTGGCAGGAGCTGAGCAGGAGACATGATCAGTCCGGCCATATTTGAGGTAAACCTGTGAATTGACAATTGAAGAAAGCTTGCGCTTGAAACACATTATTGGGCAATAGTTGCACCTTGGGGTTGTGCACTGATCCGTTGGGGTCAAATAGCGTGGATTAGGAATAGTGGGATGCCACCTGTGATCCATCATTGTCCAAGACACAGGGGCAAAAATTGATGCTCACAACTATGTGAGCGTTGAAATTTTCCTGTTTTGTTCCCATTTGTTTCCCATTTGTTTCCCTTTTCTTTCTGTTTGTCAGCTGATTATGTGATCATCAGGAACTGAGCAGACAAACTAAGCCTTCCTCAGCATTTATTCCTGAGCAAAGAAGTCTGAGGAAGGGCTGATCCATCTGCTCAGCTGATCCTGAGCGGCATTCCCTGGTTCAGTAAGCTCCAAGGGATGCCACCAATGTATAGCTTAGGGGCTGAGCTGAACTGAGTATTCCCTTAGCTAAGTCTCTGAAGTATCCCCCAGATGGATCACAGAGCGCCAAGCTTGCCTCAAGCTTGATGGCTCCGGAATGAAGCCTGAGGCCCGTCTGCTTGTTCAACTGAGCTGCTCAGTTATTCCTCAGGGGCATCCCTGAGATCAGGAGGATCCGGAGGATTTCACTGCTCATTGGATGAGGGGCTGCTCAGTTATTCCTCAGGGGCATCCCTGAGATCAGGAGGATCCGGAGGATTTCACTGCTCATTGGATGAGGGCCTGCTCAGCTAGTCCTCAGGGGCATCCCTGAGATCAGGAGGATCCGGAGGATTTCACTGCTCATTGGATGAGGGCCTGCTCAGCTAGTCCTCAGGGGCATTCCTGGCCGGATCAGAAGGATCCATAGGATGTCACTGAGTATTGGCTGAGGGGCTGCTCAGTTGATCTCAGCCCCTCAGTGTGAAAAACTTTATCCGGGGATATCACTGAGGATTAGCTGAGCAATGAGCAGATGGGATGACACTTTTATCAGGCTTCATTCCTTAGCAAGGAAGTCTGAGAAAAGTCCGGCCCATCAGTGATCCAGTCAGGGGATGCTACTGAGTATTTGCTGAGCAGCTCAAATGGGACGCCCCTGGGCAGGCTTCTTCACTGAAAAATGAAGCCTCAGGAAGGTATAGTTCATGTGCTCATCTTCATTTTGAACAAATTGCTGAGTATTCAGTGCCTCATGAGCTGATCCTGAGTACTCATCAGGAATCAGTTATTGCTCATCCAAGATGGAAATGAGCCTTCTCAATAAATGTCAAGTAAAATATGAGAACCACAGGATGATCACCTGAACACAAACAAGATTGTGAATTGAATCAATCTGAAAGAAAATGAATCTTTTTTGGAGAATTCCAAAAAGTCTACAACGCTCACATGTATGTGAGTATCTACTTTGGCCCCTGTGAGAATGGCTTGAGGGAGCGTTTTTGTGACACATGGGTCACGTTTCCACTCACTCAAAAAATAAATCAGTGCACCCCCTTGGAAAACTACTTGATTCTACCAATCATGGTCATGCCATCAACCAATCCTCACATTGTGCTCGTGATTTCATAAAAACTATGCTGTCTCAGAGATAGACATAGAATTAAAATACTGACAAAGTGACTTAGAATTTCAATGTCCCCATGGTCAAAACCAGGCCACGTTGCTACACCACAGTTGCTCTCAGCAAAAAAGGGAAAACAAAATTGTGCACTGGTATTGAATCATCAAGCCTGAAAGATCAGTCATAAAGTTCCCGCAAAGAAGCATAATTTGTTTGATTACATAACAGTTATGACCCACAGTGTCATAGCTTGCTCTTTTTGAATTCAACTTCTTGCTCGTAACACTTTACCACTTCTCTCTTATACAACTCCCATTCCACACTTGATTTTCCCTCTCTCATTTTGAGCAAACCCTTGATCCAGTTGAGCAAAGCCTCATTGATCTGTAGCAAACATCCAAATTGTGTGATCGGTGAGTTCCTGGGCGGGATTGGAACCACACCTTCATTGTATCACAGCCCCCAGCTACTAGGCTCTGGCAGGCCAGAGATTACCTTGGCTTCATGAAAGATTCATGAAAGATTCAGGAACATTTCCAACTGACTTCAACATAATATCATATGGGGCCATTTGCCCAATACCCAAACCGCTCCGCTCCAAATATTGGTTTCAGAGCGGTTTCAGAGCGTTTTTTTGGGTCCGCTACGGCCCTTGCATTACATAGTGGATGCTACGCACTGAAACCCCAACCCCGTGTTTTCCATAGCAGAGCCACCAAAACACAATGGGCCGGGGTCTTGGGTACTCCGATATATATCGGAGTGATACAGTCAATGGTGGAGGGGTATCACTCACCCCACCCCTTGTTCTCATCTCACCAGATCAAAACAGAACGCCTCACGCCATCTTAGCTCGATTCGACCAATGGAACCACCCTGGATGAGGCTTCGATGGCTCACCTGTGGTCCATCCGACTGCCGAAAGCTGGTATATATGTTGATTTGGTAAGTCCCATTTGACCGATCAAATCTCTGATCGTATCTTAGAAAGTGACCCACCTATTCCTTTCCTTCTTTCAAATCAATTCTTCAATTTCTTTCATCCAATTCAATTCATTCAATCATATCTAAACATGGCCATCACCAAATCCCCCTCCCAATCCCAATACTCGTTGAAAAGTGCTGGCCTTCAAGTACCAAAAGCATTGAGTGCTTGAACCCTCAGACCACCAAGCCCCTCTCGACCAGCACCAGGCTTTGTGGCTACGCCAAAAGACTCCCGTACAACTCTTACACTTCCTTCTGATGACAACCAAAGTTCAACTGGTCCTCTCGCTGATTGTTCTGATTCACCTCAACCCCCTACTGTTCCCA